CCAGCAGGCCCTGATTGGCCCTGATTGCTGCAGGCGAGGCCTAGAGATCCCACATGTGCATGAATTCGTGTACCGGGCCTATGTACAAAATAATCATGAGCAATGATTTTATAGATATTTTTTATTAGGTTTTTTTTTTTTGGCTGTTGTTGAATGTGAAGCCTCTTAATTTTGTGAGAATTTTAAAAAATTATTTTTAACATATTTTGCAGGTATGCTATCTTTGTTTTTCTTTGCTCTAGTTTTTGTCTCCCAAGTAAGATTTCAGGTTCCCCTACAGTCACACTTTACATTTAAGAGTGTGTGTTACATACCAAAAAAGTTAAATTCTCTCCTTTTTCTCTTGATGATGTAGATAGTATATAGGCTGTCATTTATTTTGCCTGTATTGAATATTGAAGTATTCAGTAGTGTAAATGAGAAACTTAATCTAGTGTTTCTCACAGTGTGGTCTTTGGTCAGCAACATCATGATCTCCCCTTTGTTAGGAATACAAATTCTCTGGCTCCACTCCAAACTTCTGAATCAGACATTTTGGGGAGGCTCGGCAATCTGTGTTTTAACAAACTCCAGAAGGTTCTTATGATTGCTGAAGTTCCAAAACTAATCTGTTCAGGTCCTTAGAATTTGGATACTACTTTTCTAAAAGCTTTGGCCAGAAATCTTACTTTTACTACCATTATAAAACACTTTCCAGGAAAATAAATATTTTCCCCTACTTACTTTACAAATAAAGGATATAGAAAAGAAATACAGTACTTGCCTTGTGTATTTCAAGTCTGTTGGCTAGGCAGCACATGTGTTGGCCAATGTGGTGGGAGTGTTAAGAGCATGGGATTTTTGAGATTAAATTTTTCTCTCCTTACACTATTTTCTATTTTGTTAACAAAAGTCAGATGCTAAAGAGCGATTTGTAGATGGAGGATTATGTTGGCCTAACATATCACATGTTAAACTTTCTTAGTTGAATTGAAAATATATTTGATAATTGTTTACTCAACTTTATAGTTATGTTTCAGTGATCATTTACCAATAAAGAGCTGCATTGAAATATCTTAGGTAGAATAGAGGCTTCATAAAAAGGTCCTTTTCTAGCTGTCATGCAACTTTTTGATGTGTAGATACCAATTGGAAAGGCATCTATATAGACAGCATGATTTTTCTTTGTGTTCTTAATTCCTTTCAGTAGATTTTTAAAAAAAAGTCTGTCCTATGATACTATTGTTGTAAGATTCAAATTAAAAGCAGACTATACTTAACAATTTAATTCTATGTCTTATCACTGTTTTGTAAAAGTTTGACAACTTAAATGTTTTTGAGGACTACATTTTGAGAGGTCTGATTAGTAATTTCTTAGTTATTTTGTATGAATTCACATTTTAGTAAGCTGTAGTGAATGTGAGCGTTAGCTGAAATGATACATTCTGCTCATGTGCTCATTTAGGTAAAGTTGTTAGGATTACGGAGTGGATTGCTGAATTTGATACACAGTTCTTTGTCTTATTCATGTAAGAATATTGTCAGGTGTTTAATGTAAAAATTAGGTTACCTAGTGAAGTACCATAGTGCTAGACAAAGCCTAAACTGTTCTAAAGAAAATCGGATAATAGTGGATATTAAGAATATTGAATATGTTCTGCCTTTTTCCATTCAGTTAGGTGTCTGGGATTCTGCTGGCTTGTATTGTTTGCTGGATTCTTTTAGTTTAGTAATTTAGAAAGCCTCAAGATAACCACAGGGATGGATGAGAATCGCCTTTAAGTGCAGATTAGTTTATGTAGATTTATGAAGGCATAATGATTTTTGAAAGATGATAGCTGCTTTATATATCTTCTTCAGTCCTATTAGTTTTATAAGTTTATCATACTCTTTATTTCATGGTGGTTAAATCAGGTGAGCATTCTCCATTTTAAGGCTACTTGCTGCCTTAAGATCTTTTATATAAACATATTCTGGTAAGACTTAGAGAAAGTTTTAAAATAAATTACTAGCAGATTTTCCATTGACAAGAAAACTTTTGAAAGTGATACTCTTTTCATTATTTTCCCCCATGCATTTAGTTAATGAAATAATTATTTTCCCTCTTTGGACTAATTTTGATAAGGTAGAATATTGGCTCTGTTGAAGTTATGGTATAAAATTTTTATGAAGTGATTTTTTTCTATTTTCCTACTTAGTAATGCTATTTTTCTTCAAACAAAAAGTAGTTACAGTGTGCTTGCTGCATAAGTTTTACGTTAGAATTTAAGGGCACATTTGACTAGTATAAACTTAGAATGTGTGTACATAGTTGGAAATTTCTTAAAGTTTATAATGTGTGCAAATGAATGAGAGTCATTCAATATATTCTGACTCCTGTAGAAGTAAATTGTCTACATTAACATGCCCTGTGGGTATATACATATGAATTGGCTATCCCCCTTTCTCTACTTGCACAAGTCAAGGGAAGCAATCTCCCCCCCTCCTTTCAACAACAGTAAAAACAATACAAATCAACACTTGAATGTCCCACTTAGTTTTACTAAGTGAATACCCATCCTCTTCAAAGTTACTTTGCAGTATCTACAACATTAAAGAGCCCATTGATCAATTTCCCTATTAAAATGTTAAAATAACAAGATCAGATGTTGATCAAACTTAGTGTTATTTTCATAGAGTTGGATATTTGTGTATGCACAATTGTGCTCTTTTTTAACTGTTGTCTAACTTTGTGATTAGAACTTGTGGGGGAAACCTATCATCTAGTTGTTAGACTGGGTTTTTCATCAGGAAGTCAGATGTTATACTCGAATTGTTGGTCCTCTGCAAGAAAATAGAATGCTTCTCTTGAGTGAATAAGCCAGGATAATGAGGCGAGGGGTTTTAATTCAAAGGTGTTTTTTGGTGATGGCATAAATACATTACAGATTATAAAATCCAATTACTATATTAAATTTCATCACTTGTTTTTTAGGTATTCCAATAACTGTACCACCTCCAGGTAAAACTTTTTCCATGTTTTCTCCATCATTGTTAATAAACATGACATTTCAAGCCTATAGTTACAGGAGGGACAGTGTTGATACGATTAGAATATGGAATAGGCTATTGGGATTTCAAGGTCCTATTTTCAGCTCTGCCTTTGCTTCATTCCAGTTTTAAGATAATTAGTTTTCTTATACCTGTCTTACCCATTTCTGTAGAAATAGAGATTCTGAGAAAATTGTCAGATTTTCACCATGTCAGTTGGTTGAAGAGAACTGAGTATAGGATAAAAAAATTTTTTTATTAAAAATACCAAGGAATTTTTTATATGATAAAGTGACTGTAAAAGATAAGAAAGATCATTGTATCTTGATTTTTTTTTTTTTTTGCCCTGCTGGCATAACTCAGTATTATGAGAATGTATGTTCTGAGCCACATTGTTAGGTAGATTGATAACTGGACAGATGGTTGCTCTCTGAGTGGTTAAATTGTTCATTGTTATAATGGTATGATCAATAGTTATATGTGGCCCAGTGTATGATCAATAGTTATATGTGGCCCACTGTTATTTAAAAAACAAAATTTAGAGCTTTTTGGTAGTGTGATAAAAACGTGGCAGCAAGTGTGTTAACTTAGTTCAGCATATAAAAGCCAAGGAGCATGAAGAGAATGAGCAGTGAAAGTTCTTGGAAGGGTGGGTCTAAAATCAAAATGACCTTGGTAAACAAACAGTGGAGTTTTGATAGCATAGGTGAGTATATAGTTAGATATGAGATAGTCATTGATTGTCTATGAATGTGGCTGAAAAAGACTTACCAGGAGAAGTTATAAAGGAATCATTGGTGCATCTTTTTAGTTTAAAAAGAAATGTGATTTTAAAAACTGTATAAAGCAGGATTGTGGACTTTTGAGTACTAATGTGGTAAATACTAAATTGTATACTTCTAAGATGTTCAGTAGAGGATTTATAAATCCCAAAACGATACAGGGAAGATGAGCATGGTGAATTTGAAACAGCTTGTAAAAGGGCCAAACTGATTTAATTGGACTTTTGAGAAGGGTTAAGAGAACTGAGATTCGTTTTTACTTAGAATACTAAAAAGAAGGTCTAGTGGAATTGTTTTTAATATGTAGAATGTGTTAGAGAATAGGACAATGGATTGTTTCTTGCCCTCATTCAGGATAGCATATGTGTTGCAGTGTGAGAAATTTAAATAATATACTTTAATGCATTTCCCAGTAGTGAGAGTTGTTAAAATTAGGAAGCAATTGGTATCATAAGTTGTAGAATCTTAGTCTTTGTTGAGATTCTTTTTGCCTATTTGAATTGGAAAGTGTAGAATAGATTAACGTTAAAGGTCCCATTTAGCCACATTCCATGGTATTACATTTAGGTATTGTGAATTATTGAGAATGCAGACCTCATAATATCAAAGTGCAAATTATTTTCTTTCCAGACTAATGCAAAACTATAATTATATGCCTTTATTTGTAAAGTAGTTTTTTAGGGTTGTGCTATTAAAACATATTTTATGATGGATATTCTTAGCCTTAAGCAGTTATTATATCTACTGGTAAGATTTTATTTATATATTACACATTTTAAGGAAATTTCTATACACCTAAAACTCAAAAAAAATTTAAAAGAGGTAAACGTTATCTTATTTGCTTTTCTACTAAAATATTTCAAGTATAATATATCTGGTGGCAACACTACTGTTTTATATGGAAAAGGTAAGGCATTGAAATTAACTTTCTCATACTCACAAAATGGGCTGTGTGTGGTGCTGAAAATAAGACCGAGTGTCCTGACTCCCAATTTGTGCTCTAGGTATTAGACAAGACTGTTCATTTAAAATTTTATTACTCTAATATCTGTTTGTAAGCTTAAGCTCCATTTTTTTTTCTGTCCATTATAACATAGAGAAGCATGTTATGTCCCCAGAAAAATTTAGTGATATGTAGCAACTTTGTTTCTCTCTTGCCATTAAATATACACTCTCTTAACTTTTTTTCCTTATGATTGATTGTTTCAGGTTTTCCTCCTCCACCAGGTGCTCCACCTCCATCTCTTATACCAACAATAGAAAGGTAAAGAATTGTGTATACTGTAAAATTTTTGTATAGGCTTTTGACAGAAGAATCATACATATTTTGGTAATATTTTCAAAGATTTGATTTTATAAACAGTAGTACCTGTCTTTTAATGAGTAAGTTTAGATCTGTGTTAGTTACTTTGATATAAGATTTGGACCTATATAGCTCAATAACAAAACACAAAAATAACTAAATGATAGTATTTTGAAGTATCTTCCCTTGATTTATACACACTAGTTAAAGAAACTCCTAAATTAATTTTGAAAATTGACAGTAGTCAATTTTGTGGAAAATACAAAAAGATGACTGGTAATCATGAATAAAGCATGTCTGTCTTAGGATTGGGTAAGGACAACTGTTATCAGGGACCATAATAAAGAAAAGCTGCCTTATTCCTTGCTACTCTGCTACAACTCAGCTTCCACAATGGAGAATTGGATCCATTCTTCATGGGAAAAGCCTTATTTTCATACCCTGCATTTATGGTTTTTGTTAGTTGGAATGCTATACTAAATAATTTTTACCTCATGGGTGGCAATATCGTGTTTAACAGGAGAGACTTTGGAATAAAAAAGAACTGGTTCAAATTTTGCCATCATAATTTACCAGCTTTGTGTTGCTATGCAAAGTTTATGACTACTCTTTGAGACTTAGCATCTTCTTTTACCAAGTGGAATTGATAGAATTGTGAAGATTAAAACAGATAGTTAATATAAAGCATCAACATAATTCTTTTTTAAAAAAAATATATTTTATTGATTTTTTTACAGAGAGGAAAGGAGAGAGATAGAGAGCTAGAAACATCGATGAGAGAGAGTCATCGACCAGCTGCCTCTTGCGTACCCCCTACTGGGGATGTGCCTGCAACCAATGTACATGCCCTTGACCGGAATCGAACCTGGGACCCTTCAGTCCACAGACCGATGCTCTACCACTGAGCCAAACCAGCTTTGGCTCAACATAATTCTTGATAGATAGGAATCATTAATGATAGCTATAATTATTTCTGCTTAATTGGCAAATAAACTCTACAAAATTAGCATTATTTTTGAAAAAGTTATTTAAATGATATAAGACAAAAATTTTGATAACCGTAATATCAATAGTATTAAAACCATGCATATGATTTTCAAAGAACATGATAAAACTCAGTGAAGTGTGTCTTGTGAGAACGTACAGATTTATTAAGTCCTTCTTATATATATATTTGTTTTCTCAATCAAAATGTTAAGTATTATTTGTTGTTCCTGTCAGTAGAGCTGAATTTCTGATTGATAACAGACCAGCTTTTTTAAAGATAAATTTAAAAAAATATATTTTTTAATTGATTTCAGAGAGAAAGGGAGAGGGAGTGTGACAGATAGAAACATCAATGATGTGAGAGAATCATCACTTGGCAACCTCCTGCCCGCCCCTTACTGAGGATCGAGCCTGCAACCTAGGCATGTGCCCTTGACTGGAATCGAACCTGGGACCTTCAGTCTGTAGGCTCATGCTCTATTCACTGAGCCAAACCAGCTAGGGCTTAAGACTAAATTTTAATTAAGTTTTAAATATTGTTAGCTTCAAAGTTTCTGTTATCTTGTGAGTTAAGATGAATAAATTGGATTATTCATGTTATACTAGTAAGCTATAATTTTTTTACATCTGGGTATTAGGTTTAATATATTTGGAGGTAAAATAATCCTGTGTTTTTACTATTAAAATTTAAATTATAGAATTAAAGTTTATTGTTGTTGTTAAAGAAGTCATAATTCTGCCTTTATGTTTTGTACGAAACTTAAAATTTAGAACTTATTTGAACACATAAAAATACATTTTTTCTTCAACAGTGGACATTCCTCTGGTTATGATAGTCGTTCTGCACGTGCTTTTCCATATGGCAATGGTAAGTGTTTTTAATTGCCACATTCGATTTGAATTAATAAAGGTTAGCAGCCTTATGCAGGCAGGCTTTGGGAGCTACTCTATCCTGAGATCTGGGCTCTGCAGCCTTTTTCTTTCTTTCTTTTTCCTTTTTCTTTTTTAATATATTTTATTGATTTTTTACAGAGAGGAAAGGAGAGGGATAGAGAGTTAGAAACATTGATGAGAGAGAGACATCGATCAGCTGCCTCCTGCACACCCATTACTGGGGATGTGCCCACAACCAACATACATGCCCTTGACCGGAATTGAATCTGGGACCTTTCAGTCTGCAGGCAGATGCTCTATCCACTGAGCCAAACCGGTTTCGGCATTTATTTATTTATTACACTTTTATAATTTTTGTTTTACTGTTAAGTTTTTGAGTTTTTGATAGAATTCTACATCAGATTAAGGAAACTTTTTTCTAATTTTCCAAGTGCTTTTGAACTATATAAATATTGATTTTATCAGCTGCTTTATGAGATGATCATACTGTTTTTCTTTAGTGTATTAATGTGGCAGATTTATAATATTTTTCTAGTATTAGGCATTGTTTATTTGCTGACATCTAACTGGGTCATGATTAATTACTTTAAAAAACACGGATTTGTCTAGGATTTTGACTTCTAAGTTTATATGTAAGATTGGCCTGTGATTTTCGTTTATTTGTACTATCCTTAACTGGTTTTGGTATTGAGGCTATACAAGCCACATGAGATAAGTTAGAGAAGGGTCTTTTTTGCCTTTTCTCTGGAAGTTTGTGTAATATTAGAATGGTCTATAATTTATAAGCTCATAAAAACTCAGCTATAAAACAATCTGGTTTTGTGGGAAGGTTTTAAATTACTGATTTAATAACTTTAATAGTTATAGGATGGTTAAGATTTCTTTTTATTCTTAATCACTTTTCTTTGGTAATTTATTTTTAAGAAGTAGACTGAGCTAAGTTTATAAATGTGTAGATATCAAGTGTATAATAGTTTATGTATTGTTTAATCTCTGTTGGATCTGTAGTTGTGGTCCCTTTTTGGTTCTAATATTATTTATGTGGCCTCTTTTTTGTAATTTTTTTTTTTTTTAAGGTTTTATCCTTTTTAAAAAAATATTTTTATTGATTTTTTATAGAGAGGAAGGGAGAGGGATAGAGAGCTAGAAACATCGATGAGAGAGAATCATCGATCAGCTGCCTCCTGCACGCTCCCTATCGGGGATGTGTCTGCAACCAATGTATATGCCCTTGACCAAAATCATACCTGGCACCTTCCAGTCCGCAGACGGACGCTCTATCCACTGAGCCAAACCGGTTTCGGCTCTTTTTTGTAATCTTGTCAGAGATTGTCGTGTTTTATTTGTCTAGTATTCAAAAACCAACTTTCTGCTTTTTTAATTGTGTGGAAGTTTTCTGTTTATTTGATTTCTACTTTTTATTTTTATTATCTCTCTTCTCTTAGATCTGTGCTTTTCTAAGTTCTTATCATATGTTTTCCATATATTTTTTTTTAAGGTTTACTTTCATTATTGACAGTACTACAAATGTCCCTTTTTTTCTCCTTTCTTTGCTCAACCTGTTTCCTGCCCACCTTTAGCACACTGTTCTATGTGACCATGGATTATGCACCATCTTTTCTGATGTAGTTTTTTTTAAAGATTAAATTTCCCTTCAGAACAGTTTGTATCTCTTTGGGAAAAAAAAGATATATATATTTTTTTATTGATTATGGGAAGGTTGAAGGAGACAGAGAGATAGAAACATCAGTGATGACAGAGAATCATTGATTGGCTGCCTCCTGGCACTCCCCACTTTTGGGACTGAGCCCACAATCCATGTATGTGCCTGACCAGGAATTGAACCTTTAATATTTTTTTCTTATTTTTTCCTTTGCTATTAACCATTTTTTGTTTTTATGTCTTATGTTCAGAATATAATAGGAATTATTCAAAGTCCAAATCAAAAATCTCTCTTATATAACTGATGAATTCAGTGCCTTTTATATTGTGCTGATTTTTGAGCTATTAAACTTAGTCTACCCAACCCCTGTATTTTCCAAATCTTTTTGAATTGGCAGATTTTGAAATATTCTGTTTTCCCCTATATTGTTTTGAAATTATACATTTGTGTGTGTGTGTGTATACCCTTAAAATGCATTTTACATCTATCTTTTGGTGAACTCATAACATTTGTTGTTTTTGTTCATCTATGAATGCCTTTTTTTTTCTTATTATTTTAAAAATATAATTTGTTGACTACATGTTCCTAGGTTGACTACCATTTTCTCTCAATACTTTGAAGATGTCCTAATTTATTCTAGTTTACATTTTTTATAAGGGGAATTTTGTGGTGTATCTATTTCTGGTTCCTGTTCACCTTGCAAAATGATTATGTTAAGTCTTTAAGGTTTATTTCTCTATATTCCTCCAATCAGGGTATTCTCGCTATGTCATTTATCTTTTCTAGTTATAAAATAAGTTTGCATTATAATCTTATGAAGCACTTTTGGTGGAAGTTTTATCTTTATTTTCTAGTATTTTTTTTTCCTCTTGTTTTTAAGTACCAAAACTTTTGTTTTTAATCTTTATGTTTTGTTTTTTTTTGTGTTTTTTCTTTAGTTGCCTTTCCCCACCTTCCTGGTTCTGCTCCTTCATGGCCTAGTCTTGTTGACACCAGCAAGCAATGGGACTATTACTCAAGAAGAGAGAAAGACCGAGACCGAGACAGAGACAGAGACAGAGACCGAGACCGAGATCGTGATCGAGACAGAGAGAGAGAGCGCACCAGAGAGAGGGAGCGAGAGCGTGATCATAGTCCTACACCAAGTGTTTTCAACAGGTTTGTTGAGTATGCTGGAATTTGTATACATATATTTAATGTGTACTTGACTGTTTGTATTTGATTGTAGGAGGGAAAATCCAATTTAGTTGGGAAAGCATTGCTCAAAGAGTTTTTAGGATAAGCATTATAAAAGCATTAAGGCTATTTAATTCATAGGGATTCTCATTACCTAAAGCAATAGTCTTCAAATTTGTTTGTTCTCTCCTAAAAGAATTTTGAAAACTTTGTACCCCCTCCCATATCTTGCCATCTAAGACATTTTTTTTCTCTCTTTTTTAAAATATATTTTTATTGATTTCAGATAGGAAGGAAGAGGGAGAGAGAGATAGAAACATCAATGATGGGAGAGATTCATGGATCGGCTGCCTCTTGAAAGTCCCCCACTGGGGATTGAGCTCATAACCGCTAGTGTGAGTGTATGTTTTGTGTTTCTGTGGTGGGACATGTACTGTTAACTTGAGCAATGTAGGTCAACATGATTCTGTTAAATTCAAGAGCATTACTTTCCAGAAAAGTTAAATAGTTTCTAATGTAGTTAAAATACTTGAGATAGCACTGTTATCTCTAGAATGTCCATACTCACAAGTTAAGGAGCTTAATGCAAAACCTGATAGGAAAGGAGACAAAAAGAAATGGCTTTGCTAGAGTTTATAAGTTTTCTTTGAGTAAACATAAAATAATACAGTTTATATTATAGAATATTTGAGACTAAATTATCTGATTAAATTTTAAATACAGGCGTTACTTAATTTTTATTGAAACTGAAGTGCTAATGGTTAAACCACATTTAATTTTTAGGTTGCTGTGCTTTAGGCCATCAGAAGTCAGTGTTTACCTAACTTGACTAAAAGTTCAAGGTAAAAGATGGAGAAATTTTGTGTTGTTCTGAATTATCCGAGGACTAAAGTATTCTCTGGAAAATCTAAGTGAAGTATAAGTCAAGTTCCCCCCCCCCCCACACACACACACCTTTTTTTTTTTTTTTAAACATTTTAGTGATACGGCATGTAGTATGTGTTGTGTCACAAATTACAGGGTCATTGGTTTGAAAATTACAGACCAGTTTCAACATCTGGTCTTTAGGCCACTTAATTGAGGTCTAGAATAAAGTCTGTTCATTCAAGGGTATTTGAATGAACTCTAATGATTTCCAGACCCAGAGAAACTTGTGCAGCAATTGCTTTTCAAAGAAGGGACTAGAAGAAGGGATGTTTGTATTTCATGTATGAGACCAAATCTTTGTCATCTGTAGAAAGTTTCCCATCATATGGCTGCCTTCAGAATCTAAAAGGACCTCAAAGCTGTCAGGAATTGGTGTTAGGGTGAGAAGGTTACAGATGACAAATTATGAGATAATAGACTCTGTTTTAATGTAAATCCAGTTGGAATCATTACAAAGAAAGCCTCATTTTTATAGAGGATAATATTTAACTACCATATTCATTTGTCCTGGTGTGGGCTAATTATTCTGCTTCAGAAAAAAATTAATTAGGATAGGATCGTTCACCTTTACAAAAAAGGTTCTATTTCTGAAAAATTTAGCATTAAATTTAGTGAAGATGGTGAGCCTATATATAAGCTGCCATTTATTGAGGGCCTTCTCTTGTACCAAGTACTTACAAATGCTATTGCCAGTTCTACAACAACCCTGAAAGGATTGTTGCCCATTTTATAGATAAGAAAACAGATGGATGCCTAGGGAGGTTGGTTAACTCACATTTAGTAAGTAGTAGAATCAGGATGTGATCCTGGGCCTACTCTGCTTGTAGTCTTCCCACTATTCCACACTGTCATGGCACATTGCCTTTTAGGTGACATGCTTCCACTTTCCAAATATAAAGTAGATATTTATGGTTAGGAAAAAAAGCATAAATACACACACACACACACACACACACACACACACAAGCATAAATACACACACGCACACACACACACACACACACGCACACACATACATTAATATTTTCTTGTTTGGAGCAGGGCCAGCCTGGAGAGGGTTAATGGGGGAAAAGGAGGATATATGTAATACTTCAACAATAAAGATTAAATAAACAAGATGGTTTAAAAATGTAATGTATAGAAACAATAACAGCTTGGTCAGCAACATCTCTTGCATTAGGCAGACTCATTACTTTTGCTAAGAAACTACAGACTGATTTTATATGGCTTATATGTTCACCTTATTCTGTCTCCTATTGCTCCTACTACAGACAGACTCAATACTTTTGCTAAGAAACCCCAGACTGATTTGTACTTTTTAAAAAAAATTAATTTTTCTTTTAAAAATATTTTATTAATTTTTTTACAGAGAGGAAGAGAGAGGGATAGAGAGTTAGAAACATCGATGAGAGAGAATCATCGATCAGCTGCTTCTTGTACACCCCCTCCTGGGGATGTACCCACAACCAAGGTACATGCCCTTGACCGGAATCAAACCTGGGACCTTTCAGTCCACAGGCCAGCGCTCTATTCACTGAGCCAAACCTGTTTTGACTAATTTGTTCTTTTATATGGCTTACATGTTCATCTTATTCTGTCTCCTATTGCTCCTACTCAGATCACTCAACTCCTTGATGCTTTAAACATTAATTTAATAATTTGTATATAATTCTAGAAACCAAGGCTCTTTAGCACACAGAGCTCTAGAAGATATTTTTATTCCTTCTAAGTGAGTTTACTAATATTAGGTTGTGGAAAGTATGGACTTCTATGCTAAACAAAGAAAAAGAAAAAAGACAAAGGATTAGAAGGATGGAGAGAAGAATGTGAGTGAAGGGACATGAAGAGAAGATTGCACTAGGGAGGTAAAGTAAAACTAGCCATCAGTCTCAGTTTTACCAGTCCATTCTATCAGAGTCAGAAAATGGAGGTACAGCTTTAAGTTTATGCATTTGAAGTTAACCATGTGACTCTCTTCTCACCACACATATATGTAGTATTAAGTAATGGGGATATCAGAATGCAAGTATATCTATAAGTAGCTTATTTGCCTGCGTTTTGTGTGGATATTGTAGAAGTTGCTTCCCATATTCACCCTGATGGGATCAAACCTATAACCTGGGTATGTGCCCTGACCAGGAATCGAACCTATGATCTTTCAGTGTGATTTTTCAATGTATGGGATGAGTCTCCACCCAACTGAGCCACTGGCTTCGGCTGTTCTTCATGTGTATACCTCTTTACTAGATGAATATACTCTTTATGTAGTTAAAGAACCTTTATCTACTTTCTACTCTGTAGTCATTGTGAACCAGATATTTTTAGAATCCTTACTCTGTGCCCAAGATTTTATAAGTAATATAAGAATATTGGTTTGAGATCTGAAATAGACGAACATGCTTTTAACTCTAAAAGTAGGAAAAGAAAAATGATTAAAATGTAAATGAGTTGCAGCTCCCAATTTTTTAAGAAGAACAGCATTGTTTTATAAAATTTCTACCTTATAACAATTATGAAAGTACAGAACAAAACTGCTCCCTTATAACATGATGTGCAATTTTATATTTTGTGTTCTTATATTAGATGTAGTACTAATTTGGGAATGGCATTATTTCCCTCTCAGTTCAAACATTTTGCATCTATTCTCTATAAGATGCTAGCGTAGGGGCTTCTGCTTTGGACTCAGGTCACATCTCTTTTACAGATAAAATCGTATGAACAGTCCAGTTAATAAAAGTTGTTTCTATTCCAATTTCAGTGACGAAGAACGATACAGATACAGGGAGTATGCAGAAAGAGGCTATGAGCGTCATAGAGCAAGTCGAGAGAAAGAAGAACGACATAGAGAAAGACGACACAGAGAGAAAGAGGAAACCAGACACAAATCATCTCGAAGGTCTGTTCTTTAATTGTGAATCACTTTGAAGTTGAGAAATTGATTTGACTTCAGAAAGTAAGAGCAAACATTTCCTAATAACCAGTAGAGCATATATATTCCTAATTGGAAGGTTAAGAATAATCTTTTGAAATAGTTGGTTCCTTTTACACTTCAACAAAGATTTTTTAATCTAACAAGTCTGTATTTAATACTAGTAAACTAAAATTATCATGGAATATGAGAGAATTCAGCTTACTACAATTATCTTGTTGGGAGGGGGGAATTGGCATATGAACCAGTCTTTAATAGTAAATATTATTAAAGAGGTTGAATCGGAAATTCAGGGCCTTATAGTCTTAAAAAAAACAATAGTAGCACACACATATGTTAAATTTTGGTGTCTATTACTTACCTAAAACCAACCCTAGAAACTTTTTCTGATTTAGTTTCTCATTTATAATTTGGCTTTCAGAGTCCTATCTAATAAAAGGGTAATATGCAAATTGACCATCATGCCAACACACAAGATGGCTGTCCCCAGGTGGTCAAAGATGGCCACCACAAGATGGCTGGCAGGGGAGGGCAGTGGTAGGTGGTCAGGCCTGTAGGGGAGGACAGTTGGGGACAATCAGGCCAGCAGGGGAGCAGTTAGGTGTCAGGCTGGCAGGGGAGTGGTTAGGGGGTGTTCAGGCTGGAAGGCGGAAGTGGTTAGGGGCAATCAGGCAGGCAGGCAGGTGAGTGGTTGGGAGCCAGCAGTCCAGGATTGTGAGAGGGATCGTGCCTAAACGGATAGTTGGACGTCCCTTGAAGGATCCCAGATTGGAGAGGGTGCAGGCTGGGCTGAGGGACACATTACCCCCGCCCCCCATGCACAAATATCGTTCACTGGGCCTCTAGTAAAGTATGGAAATCTGGGATGATGTTGGTGAAGATCAGCTTATAATGTAAATATCATCTCAGTATAAAAGTCACCCCCAGAAAAACAAACTGGCTAATGGGTTAAATCTTTTAACACCCAGCATTGAGAATTTACCTAGTCAAGTAGATTTTTTGTCATTATTTGTGTCCTTAATTAAAAAAAAAACAAAAAAAAAACACACGATGTGTTCTTAATTTTTTTTTTTTTTTTAGTAATAGTAGACGTCGCCATGAAAGTGAAGAAGGAGACAGTCACAGGAGACACAAGCACAAAAAATCAAAAAGGAGCAAAGAAGGAAAAGAAGCTGGCAGTGAGCCTGCCCCTGAACAGGAGAGCACCGAAGCTGCACCTGCAGAATAGGCCTGGTATAACCTTTTGTGTATATTAGTCCCAGAAATAGATACTACAAATCTTGTTTATTTTTCTGGATAATGTTTAAGAATTTACCTTTAATCTTCTGTTAGTATAAAAGCTTTTTTCCCCAAAATAAAAGAGTGAATTTTTCATGTTAAGTTAAAATCTTTGTTTTGTAATATTTAAAAAATAAGATTACAATGATTTTATATCCAAGAAAGTATGTGAGTGAGGCACTCATCAGGGAATTTAAAGAATGGTGTTTAGCTGTGTACATACCAGTATCTGATAAAGGCCAAGGTTCTACATTTGGCCAACATTTCCTTGAGTTAATCACATATTAGTCTCTCCACGTTTCTCTGCAAAAGGCATTCAAAGGGCACCTCTGAGTTTTGAGAATAGTCTTTTATCGTTACTGTTGTAGCACTGTGGGTTAGCATATTAAAGAACTCAGTTTTGATACCATAACTTTTGATAGCGAGTGTTCATGGTGAAATTGGGGAAATTTTATATGTAAACAAATGAATCTAATGGTATTTGGGAGGCCTCTGAAATAATTTAAGTGTAGTTTGTAGCAGGCACTGGACACTCATCACAATTTTGAATTCCCTCATGGCCATCTATATGAGGCTTGTTTGGCTTTTCTTGATGATTTTCTCAAGGCTCATTGGTTGAACAGCATGCCGATTTTTTTTTTTTTAATATAGTGAATAAAAAAGAAGTGACAAGAGCTTTAGTTATTTCCTATTAAATCTAAGAAAAAAACCCCACAAGTTTTAATCCTCTAATAGAAATGAATTTAGTGTCACATACTTAAACACAACTATAATTTTAAAAAATATTTATTTCTTATTTGATGAAAAACATTTTCCAGTAATGCACTTTTAAAATCATTTGGGTGTAAGTTATTTTTAAAATACTCAAATTTTTAATTTTATGATTCTGATTCATTTGAGGACATACAAACCATTTCAGCTGTTTAAGAGCTTTTTATTAAATAGAAAAATATAAACGTAAACGTAGAGTGATGCAAAATCCTCCACACTGAATAAAAACTATTAGTAACGTTTTGAGAATTATATCTTCTGAGGTGCAATTGGCTTTCATTAGATCATAATTTTGCTGATATTATAGTTCACATTTTTATAATGTATCCCTTAAATACAAAAAAATGACAAGATAAATATATTGTTTCAACTTTTATGATTTTCTGTGACCCAACAATTCTATAAAAATGTGCCAGGCCAAGAAACGATAGTGAGAGTGATTTTCCCTTTAAGTTCTTTTAACATCCTTGCCAAGCAAGCATGTATCATTCCAGATGTACTTTTACCATTGACAGCAAGAAGAATGTCACCACATCTAAAAAAATAAAACAAGGTATATGATTAATATTTTGATCCATAGCTGAAGTTAATTCAAGTTTAATTGGAGGTCCTAATTTTTGCTATATCTGTCAGTTCTAATTAAATTACTTATCTCCTCCTCACTTTAAATGCAAACTCTCTAAATTCAGCTTGCATTAGAAGGGATTCATAAGCAAGTTGCTATATGGGACTAAGTAACTATAATCATTTTGGATTTCTTAGAAATTGCATGCTACATAAATGTGTTTAATTTTTTAAACCTACAAGTAAGCAAATGTGTTTCTGACCAATATGAAAGTTATAATACATGCCTTTTTTCAAGAAGGGCCATGTTTTTTTTATGCACAAAAATCCATAAAACAAAATATTTGAATATAAATGTTATAAATTTTTTTCTGTTAAAATAGTTGTTGTTACCTAATTCTTCCATCATTATATGCTGGTGTTCCTTCAACAATGGATTTGATAAAAAAAGGTTTGTTCCCATTGTATTCTTCATAACCTCCTACAATGCAGAAGCCCAGACTTCCAGCTGTGTTTCTTCGTAATACAACATCTTTGCAGTTATACAGGTACCTGCAATAGAATGTAATCAATATATAAGCAGTTTAGTTGAACTTAGTTGAACTCAGATAATAATTACTGTGATTTATCTTCCATTTCCTTTTCTGACAATTTTTAGAATAAATAGCACTAGATGGGTCTCACTCAAAATTGACCTTTGTATTGTTAGCTTGCTTTTTCTTATTGAACTTCTGTTTTCCATTGTTAAACACACTTTAACAAATGACACCATCTATTTATATGTCTACTGGGAAAGATAATCAATTTAATAAGCCTTAATTTATATTAAAAAGTTGGGATATGCATAAATCCTTATTGGTGAACCAAATTCAAACATACTTATTATGGATGCCATTTTTACTTGTAGGTTTAAAAAATTTTCTTTTTAAATTTATCTCAGAAAGAGAGAGGAGAATCATCAATTGGTTCCCAACTGCATGCTTCCTCACTGGGGATTGAACCCACAATCTGGGTATGTGCTCTGACTGGGAATCTAACCCACCACCTTCTGGTGTACAGTACAGTGCTCCAACCAACTGAACCACAGGCAAAAGTCTTTGAATAAATTATTATTCTCAATTTAAAAAAAAAATTCAAACCTACCCTTATTAATGCATTTGTTGAAATTTGGAGTTTTGAAAAGTATTAGTTTATATGTATGTAGTTCTACGTGTTTAATAAAGATTAGAGACACAAGCAGGCATAAAGTGAATGGAAAATATATATTTAAAGACTAAATATGATTCCTATTGGAGTATAGAAAACTGGCAGTAAATGGAATAGCAAGTTATAAAAGGAATGGGAAGGGAAGAAGAGACCAGAGGTCTTCTGTAAATGAATAGAATTTTCAGCTAAAATAGAAATATAGATTGAAGACACTATTTCTTTATTCTGTGATAGTTGGATGAGTGTTAACATAGGTGCAGACTAATGTGCAAACTGTATTACAATTAGGATAGAAGGTCTATGTCAGGAGCTGGATTTGACTCGAAAATCCCTGAATCCAGAAACGTTTGAAAAAATGAATATTTTCATTTTGAAAAAAAAAGAAAAAGAAAAAAGAAAAGATATTGGTTTGTTTATAAGTTGTACCTTAAGATATTAATTGCTTTTTGAAAAACCAATAAAACATCTCTTGTGAAATGTTGTTAAGTGATGATGACATTGGTCAGTAACATTTGTTAAATTAATTTTAAATGAGTTTTTCCTATTTTGAACTCATTTAAGGCTTAATTGAAGAGTCGCAAAGTATAAAGAGTAGCAAGGAGTTTAGTAATTTTTCTAAAGAAAATTATGGTTACCTTAAATAATTTAGACTGTTAAAAGGAGTTGATAAATACAGTGAAGTTGGTTGCTACTATTTTTTGTTCTTTCACTGGCTGTTCTTTCAAGGATTCCACTTTTCAGTGGATCTCAATATTTCACTGAACCCCTATATTACTAAAGTGTGGTTTCCAAAATATGTGCCTTTCAGGATCTAGAGGCAAAACATTTTTGTCATAATAGCATGATCTTTGCCTTTTCACTCATTTTCTTGAACACATGATAGGTGATCTGGCAACAGAGAGAGTGCAGAAGAAGATATGAGTCCACTTATCTTCTGTTAAGCCAAATATTAGAGAGGTTTGCAAAAAAAAAAAAAACCACACAATGTTGGTCTTCTCACTAACTTTTAAAAATAATGTCTTATGAGGAAAGCAGTATATTAACATAATGGAGTATATTATTTTAAATAAGTAAAAAATTCTTCCTATTAATTCCTAAGGTAAATATCATTAGACATAAGCTATATAAACAAAAGTTCTTTAGCATCATCAACTTTTTAAATTTGTATAGGGGTCTTAAGACAAAAACTTTGGGAATTTCTGCTCTAGATGTGTTTATCAAACTTGGAAGTCCCATTGGTATCTCAGACTCAACATGTTCGAAACAAGTAATATTTCTTCATTCTTCCTTAATGTGATAAAATAATTGCATTGATGTCCCCAAGTGGCTACCCTACCGTGGTGTACCCAGTTGTATAACTGTGGTGTCTTCCTTTTCTGATTCTGGACTCAGTTGTAAGAGCAACAGTGGAATTTTTGCCACCACCAGTCAAATCTTAGATACATAAGTATGACCAGCCAAGATCAACTAAGCCTAGCCTGAATCCGCTGAGCCCCCACAGACTTGGGAACTAAATATTACATATGGTTACTTGTTAACTGAGGTTTTGCAGCATGATTGTGACAATACATAATTGATATGCCTACTCCTAATTTAGTTGTATCCCTTCTGCTTTTAAAAAGTTACTAAGGAAGCAATTTGGAAACTTAAAAATATAAATGCAAATTCTATCTTAAAATTCAGTCACTATATATGAAAGAGAACTTCCAAAGGCAGTGAGAGTCATGGAGGGATGATGGAAGAGGGAATGCCCATAGCTGAAGAGTGCAGTCCAAGCTGGTAAAGTCCTAGGGGCCATAGTGAGTGGTCCACTGATAGCAAAACACGCATCCACTGGGAACACCAGAAGTAGGCAGGCTGACTGTTAGCAGAGTGTTCCCTGGGCCCAGTGTGACAGGGGAAAAGGGCATGGGTGAGGTAATAACCCAAACTGACAAGCCATATGGACAGGAAGTAGCCTGCCAATGCGGTAGGGTAAAGAATCAGCGGAGACATGCTATAATACAAAAGTGGGAAGGTAACAGTAATAACAGTAACAGACAAAACCCACTCACCAGAAAAATACTGTAGAAAAATGAAGTTTTAACCACATTACTGTGAATTTAAACTACTTCTGAAATAATTGTAAGAAATCAAGGAAGATATGAGAGAATAAACTGAGAAGAAGTGAAGAAATACAAAAACAAAGATATACTATTGAAAAACAAGGGATATGAAGGACAGATTAAAATAAGCAAAGAAAACAATGGAAATTAACAGTTGAAAAGAATTCAAGGGAAAATGAAACACGAGACATCAAATACATATTTGGATTTTCTGAAAAGAACCACCCAAATAAGTTATCTTGAACATTAGGTGACAAGACCAAGCCACACACAGATGGGAAGAAATGAGATCACACTTCTCTGCCCCACAGTTAGTTAAACCTGTTAACCGAGGAGTTCCTTTTTTAATGACGCAACCTGTAATGGGCGCATACTCTCACTAGGACGTGTTAGTAGGTCACGCCCGGAGGACATAATTTCATATTATTTTTTAAAATTTATACTTAATGAAAATAAATGAAATATATATATTCGTTTATTTATATATATAAAGCACAAAGGAAAATTCAAAATTACAAAAAAAATAGAAAAGAATACCGACAAAAAAAATTGGACACGTCGAATTAAAAAATTATAAATTTTTACAAACAATGATAAAGATTACAAAAAATAGCCGAAACCAGTTTGGCTCAGTGGATAGAGTGTCGGCCTTCGGACCTAAAGGTCCTAAGTTCGATTCCGGTCAAGGGCATGTACCTTGGTTGCCAGCACATCCCCAGTGGGGGGAAGGGTGCAAGAGGCAGCTGATCGATGTTTCTCATCTCATCTCATCGATATTTCTAACTCTCTATCCCTCCTCTTTCCTTCCTCTCTAAAAAATCAGTAAAATATTTAACAAAAAATTACAAAAAATATATACCGTCCCTCTCGGGGCGCAACATATATTTCAAGGACGTATTCATACGTCCTACCCGTTCCCGATATTGTTTACGTTTGACGTATTTATAGGTCCCGCTCGGTTAACAGATTAACAGTGATGCAGTGCTTACAAAGAGTGTGATCGATAATATATCCAGGCAAACTGCCATCTGGTTGTACAAACTCACTTTACTAGAACCATTTCCTATAGTAGATGCTGTCACTGTACAGTCTGAATTTTTATTGTATTTTTGATATCTACTGATACGATACCTAGGGTATAAGATTTTAAAAAATCAGTACATAATAGTGTGTATGATACTACTATGTATGTGTACAGAGATACTGCTTTTGCAAATAAATAACCATGCCCATTCATTTACATTTTGTCCATGGCTACTTTCATGCTAACACAGGACTGAATAGTTGCAACAGAGATAGTATGACCCACAAAACCTAAACTCTGACCCTTTTCAGAAAAAGTTTGCCATCCCCTGATACAGATACTCCCTGGACAAATACACAAGGAATTGGTGACAGAGATTATGATCTGAGGGGACTGGGGTGGGAGATTCAACCTTTCATTCTATATCCATTGGTGCCCTCTGAGATTTGTACTGTGCTTATTAAATTACTACTAGGTGAGAAGAGAGATGAAGGAAGACAAGCATTGCCAGGGTGACTGAAAAGCAGTGGTGTCTATTGGCTCTATTTTCACAGTGCCCTTCTACTCTTTTCAAGGAAATGAGCAAAATCCACACTAATCTAGGAAGAGCATACAGGTGCCTGCCCACGGCCACGTAAAGGGGAAAGAAAGCCATTCACTTGATCATATTTGGAGTAAAAAGTTTCTCACATTTGTCCTATCTTACCTGAATCTTGATTACATAACAGAATAGCTTTGAAGCACAAAACGATTTATAATAGAATGCAGTTTCAAAAAGATTTTTTTAAATAGAAGTAATATCCTCTTCCACATAGGTTCAATTCTAAATGTTTAAAGTTTTTAAGGTGCCTCAATGCTCAGCTGTTTAAAAATGTACTCATTTAAAATTTATCAATTACTGAAGGCTCAAATTAGAATTGAGGACAGTTTGTATTTGAGTCAGGGATGTTTTATAAACCTCATTAAAAAAAAAAAGAAAAAAAACCTATCTCCACCCTCAAGAAAAATGTACTAAAACCAAACATCCTGCTCTTGTTCATTTAATTCTAGCCAGCATATCATCTTAAGTAACTCCAGTATTTAATGTTTAAGTCATGCATTTGGAATTCATAAGAATTTTCTGACGGCCAAGAGTTAATGTTTGTGATGCAGATGAATAAAACCCAATTTATCTGCCCTCTGGATATTTGTTTACAGCCACTTAGCAAGTCTACCCCCAAATCCTTTCCTGAAGTGTCTGAGCCAAAACAGCTATATACTGTAAGATTCTAGTTGCAGCTCATTAAGTTAATGTGCAAGAACTCACAAGAGTAGGTACTAAGGAGAGAAGATGAGAGATGCGTTCTCAACACATGCATAAGCATAGGTGAAGGCAAAGTGTTCTGCGTCGCTTTAGGTTTAGCCTGGGCCATGACAGGTTGAGGCAAAACCATAGATGGGAGTTATCCTCCATGCAAGATCCTAGGGCTGCCCCTACTTGAGTGAACAGCCTGGATTTCAGCATCCTTTCCCTATCAGCTGAGCTCCCTGTTGCAAGAGGACGAACGACTCTACGTGGCAGACCTGTGAACGCCTCATGATGAATTCCTAATGTTTCCACATGCAGGCTTTTGTCCCTGCCTTGTGATTTCTGCAATGCATTTTCAGTTACAATTATTTCAAATAGCCCCACAACCAAGCCAGGGATTCATTAAGATGCTAGTGCCATGAGTCAGCCCAAGAGAGGGAAAGAATGGTAAAAAAAAATATATAGTTATTTCCTCCCACACCTCCCCAAGGATGTCACATTGGGACTCACCATGGTAATTCCAGCCACATGACCCAGGAGGGGGACCAGTCACTGGGTGGGGCCATGTTGTGGTTGGAGTCCAGAGCTGTTGGGCTGTTGCATTCTTCCTGGGACTCACATTGTTTGACTTCCAAAGCTTTAAGAACCATCGAGGAGGATGTGCTTTTCAATAATGCAACGGCCTTGTTCCGGCTGACCTCTGTTAGTTCAACCCCATTCACATTCAACAAAATGTCACCTGGTGGTCAGAGAAGCAGAAGCCATCCTTAGTGCAATAGGACCTTCTCTTACAGTGCAAAGGAGCAGGGACTGACAGATGGGTGTGGTGAAGTAGTGAGGGTGGGACACATATCAGCCTCTTGCATCGACATGAAGCTGAATTCTCATGTAGAAAATGGTGAATTGTGTGCATTCTGCAAGGCACTGGTAAGTCGTGTTTAGAGGTTTCTAAAGCATACTCATTGGTGTTCGGCTCTTGTCATTAAAAAACAAAAAACAAAAAGGAGGAATAGCCTCATTTACCATTTAATCAAAGAAAATCTACATTTTTCACTCCTTTTTTGTTTCATGTTTTTAGCACAGAGGAAGAGCACTTGGCAAAAGCTTTCAGCACCTGCACAGAGCCAAACGTATGATAGGCTTCTAATACACATGATATCAATGAATAAGGAACTATCCCTGAGAGTATCTGGCATGGGGTCTACAGCAGTTAAGAAAAATGGGCCCTAGAACTGTTTTCTCAAAGAGGTAGAAAGAAGAATTAACATTTCTATTGATTGCACAGGTGCTAAGAACTAGCACTGGTTAAGCACCTACTGTGTGCTGGACCATTTCCATACATATCCTCTAATCTGCTCATGTTTTCTCACAAATCACTTCCTGGTTGGCCTCATTATTCTACACCCAGGTGCTTGGATAAAAGTGAAAAGCAAGAGAAACTAAGATACATACCTTCCCTGCCTTCATTTTCTGTTCTTTTATTTCCTGATCTTTCTGCCTCCTTTAAATAGCTTTTTTTTTTTTTTTTTTTTTTTTTTTTTTTTTTTTTTTAAATATAGAATAACCACAGCAAGAGTAAAAAATAGGGGAAAGGCAGGAAAGGTCTTGAATCCTTCCTGACCCAAAATATACATCGTTAGGTTGGCCGACTAAGTCCCTTAATATGCCATCCCCCTTGGCTCCATAGATTGAGCAACTGTACTTCAGAAACTTTTCATTTTATCTCTTGAATCTGAATCCTTAAGTAACATAATTGCCCAACCATTTGAGTTACCCCTTCATGTGAATTGACAATATTATTAAGGATACACATTTGACATCTTCATTTCCGAAGTCCAGGACACACAAGATTAAAGTAATAAAACACTTTCCACCGGTGGGAAAGTACCTATGGCATGGTACTTTCACTTAATATTCAATCAGAGTATCCAATTATTTTCCTATACAGCTCATAAAATTGAGTAATTCATGAGTAGTTTCATCACCGGATAAATCCAGCAAAGGATCACTTAGAATAAACGGAACAAAATTATGCCATTTAACCAAGGCAACTTGCTCAGAACTAGCATTTTCCTATTAATTCTTGGCATAGTTTGCAGTACTTGCTTTACTAGCAAGCAAGGTGGCGCCCACATCAATCCACTTGAACTAAGGAGGGGTGAAACCCAGTCTGGCAACTACACTCAGACTATTCATGGTCAATGGGTAACAGATGTCCCGGCCAGATCACCCTCACATTTGCTTGTTAAATCTGGAAACAGTTACCTAACCTAGCAAGCTGCTAATTCATCTAAACACTGCTGCCCCAGACCTTAAGTTTCTTTGATTTTTACCTGTTTTTATTCTTCCATCTCTGCTTATGACTCCTCCGGGTTCAACACTGATGACGTAGATAGGCAAATCCCACTCACTGTGTGATGCTCCCCCTGAAACAGTCATCCCAAGAGATTCGCTGGGGTCTTTTCGGATACTAACGACCTTCTCATGACAAGTGACTGCAAGAGGGAGGTGCTAAGGGCACAGACAGAAAAACATGGGTTTGCATTTCCTACATACAACATGGCGCAAACATATGACAGTGGTATTTGGTCTCACAGAGAAAGACATAGAGAGAGAACCCTTGTTTTGCCACCCTCTCCCCCCATCCCCTAGGGCAGAGTTATATTATCCCAAATTCTATAGGCTGATTCAGAGGAACTTTACATTTCAGTAAAAATTGACCATTAAAAATGGAAGGAACTGTATCTCAAATTTTTCAAGTGATTCATTCCTGATAGTCGAGTCAGCTTTTTGGAAATAACACTCATTTCATTCATGAACATCAGGATTTTTTTCTAAGTTACAAAAGCAACCATATTTTAAATAATAGTGCCAGTTAACTTTATGCAGGTAATCAATTATAGAAATTCTAAAAAAAAAAAAAAATGGATTTCATATATATGACTCTTAAAAATTCACCAATATCTAGGTTTCTCCTAATTAGCATCTTTACACTTTAGTATTTCTAAATATGCAGTCAGTTGTACTTTTTCATTTTGTTACATAAAATATATATAAATATAAAACTATAGTATACACAATTGTGTAGTATACACTGGATAAACTTTTGAAAAGCAAATTAAGAGAACTTATTTTGATTTACTAGCACTAGATGAAAACCATGCAAAGCTATATACAGCATTATCATGAAAGCAATATGTAGAGAAGGTCAAGGGCACTGCTTATCAATGAATACATATCAATGTATTACTTTTTCAAAAATGTATTCTCCTCCCTGCTGGTGCAGTGATCTAAGCAGCGGTCACCAACCCATGGCCCGTGAGATCTGAAAGGTTGGAAACTGCTGAATTCTAAGGGACTAAGACTGTGGACATGTGCACTGCAAATAAATATAATACTTGGTTAAACCTCAAAGAAGCATCTGGCTCAAAGCATAGCTATAGTTGTACCTAAGGAAGGAACCTTTCTGTAATATATATATATGTACAAAAAAAGTGTAAGTGCTAGCTCTTTAACAAAAAAGAAAAAGAAAAATTATTATCTGTATTACTATTTGCATTTCTGTAAAGAAACTGGGAGAAAAATTGGTTTCTTGGGGGTATGTGGAACAGGGACTTCTTAAAATATCCTTTCCATTTGAAATCTACATCTATATCTAAATCTATATCTATATATCTCCTATTCAACAAATCATATAAATTCTAATTAAACATCTACAAATTGGATGGATGACATCATATAGATCTATTTTACCTGCAAGCACAGGGTCAATTTAAAAAAAATTTTTTTTATTGATTTTTTACAGAGAGGAAGAGAGAGAGAGAGAGAGAGAGAGGGAGAGAGAGAGAGAGAGAGCGCGAGCTAGAAACGTCGATGAGAGAGAAACATCAACCAGCTGCCTCTTGCACACCCCCTACCGGGGATGTGCCTGCAACCAATGTACATGCCCTTGACAGGAATCGAACCCGGGACCTTTCAGTCCGCAGGCTGACACTCTATCCACTGAGCCGAACCGGCTTCGGCATAGGATCAATTTTAAATGCCTCATTAGGAAACAAGATAAGCCTAGGCTTTTGTGTGCATTTATTATCTTATGATTTCCTGCAGTTTTATGTTAGCCATGTCTCTTTTAATGGCCTATTACTGTACCCCTCGCATTGACCATAGTAGCATTTAGCACATTGAAGATGGTTTTAAGAACATGTTTGCTGAATAAATGGATGAATACATTGCAAATTGCCACAAATCGTTTTTGGTAATAATAGAATAATAAATCAGAAATTGAATAATTATGGCAAGGTATATATTATAATTAGTACTTGTAAAATCTGGATTGTGTTTATATAAACCCCAGAGCCTTGAAGATAATGGTTATCAGATGAGGGTTATAAAACTGAAATAAGACTTTCTTTAGATAAAAGTTTCAAAATAAGCACTAGTAATAGTCCTAGCACTCTGGCTAAGGCCAATGAGTAACTGAGAGGGGCTCTCAAGATCCATTCTCAGCACATGACCTTTCCCTTCTGAAAAGCAATTAGATGCAGGATGTCTCTTCCTTTAATTAGAAGCATCTCTCAAAAGAAACCCATTTGGAGATGCAGGCAGTTCTGAAATGCCTCCAACGTGGCAAGAATTCTAAATCCAGAGACTCCCACTGGCTGCCCTGCTGCTTCAGCTCATTCCTGGGGATATAAAGCATTTACTCCTGATGCTCACAAAGAAGGGCTTCGGTTCATTATTTCCACATGTGGGACCAGGGGTATCGTAAGGGTAGCTGATCAATCTCCCAAGGTGATGTCTAAAACACAGTCTGGAATATTCTGAAAAACAAGGATCTCTCACACACACATACCTCACACACTATCTCATCCTTGAACAGCTGCCTAATACTTCGTGTGGATGTGTTATATTCCCCACTGATGACAGGTTGTTTGCAGTCTTCTGCAAAATTAAACAGGGACACTGCAAACATCTTAGACTCACAGTATCTTGTGCCCTTGTGTAACTATTTCCTTAGGCTAATGTCCTCATATTACAATGGAGAAATCAAAGAGCCTGGGCATTTTACATTTCAATAGATATTGATAAATTACCTTTGAAATGGTTTCTATAATTTATTATCTCTACAAGACATTGTGGAAATACTGATTTCTCACAATTGTGCCAATACTAGGTTTTATCCATATTAACCAATATTTCCCCAGGTGAAAACAAAGATTCCAATAATGTAATTGCCTTTCTTTGTAGTAAGTTTGGACATCTTTTATTGATATTTGGGTTTCTAATAAGCTTATAAGATTTGTGATAATGTGATCACTCAAGCTCCTTCTAGCTTCATCTATGAAATGGGTAAGAAAGCCCATGTACAGCAAACATGTGGCTAAAAGTAATATAACTAAATGGAAAATAGGATTTTTTAAAAGGTGTTATACAATTCATTTGAAAGTAGCAAAATTCCAAATCTTATTAAATACTCCCAGAAGTTACATCGGCTTCTCTCCTGCCACTCCAGTTAATAGGAATTTGTGAGGCTTTAATATTTGTTGTGAATAAATATTGCTTGGATAACAAATTGGCCAGCTACACCTTTGGGAAAAGAAAGGAAATACCTATTTGTTTCCTATTTAGGCAGGTCCAGGCAGGCAAACCAAGACTTAATATTTTAAAAAACCAGGTAAGTGAAACAGGTGTCAGGAGGAAAATTGGGACCTGCATCCCAGGATATCTGATTCTAAATCCATGCTCCTCTCTATCCAGTTTTGCTTTTAGAGGAAACACTGAAAGGCATGATCTAAATTAACTTATCAATGTTCAGGCATCTGTCAGAAATACGCATTGAAGAACTAATCACCCAATTTTTCCAGAGGGAGTTTAACTAGTTCATTGACTACAGAACTCAACCCAAATCAAACTGTGTCAAATAAGTCACATGACACATGTTTTGGTTGCGGAAAGCTACGTCTTCCCGGCTGCAGAGGTGTCATTTGTGTTTTTACACCAAGTTCCTGGAGATCAGAACCTTCTTTCACTTCTTCCGTGCTTCTCAAACGGCCTTTCCGCACTGAGCAACTACGGGCTAAACAGACATGACTGGATTCCCCGAGATAAGAAATGTGTCCATGTGTCCTATGTCTCCCACATACTGCTTTACCCACAGGAGAGACACGCCTGTGTTAGGAATGGAAAAGCCCATACCCTCCGTAAACAGACTTGCCTAACTGTGGTGGGTAGAGGAGAGTTAAATACAACAGAGATCTTCTTCTCCCCCCGTTTCTACTTTGGAGACTTGAGGGTGCTCCCTAATGTTTAAAACATGATTTATGATAAACCGTTTAAGTTGATTAAAACATGTCAGGGCCACCAGTGTACTATCACTGAGCTATAAAATTACATAATAGAATATTTGCTTTGGGTTTTTGAAAAAGCATTTTAGACATATTAAAAATGCATAAAGATGAACATAACTTGCCTATATACCTTGCAACCCAGGGTCAGACACACATGTCCCATGTACAGCTGAGGTGCCTCTCTGACTTCCCTCTGGTCACATTCCCTTTCCTCTCTCTGAGGCAACCACACTCCTCAACTGGATGCCTATTTGTTCTTTAACTTTTGAATTCATTAAAAACTTTTCTGTCTCACTAATCTCGGTTTGTCTTCTTTGGTATTTCTTTGGGTGATTTCACTTTCTGCTTTCAAAAAGCTATGTTGTTTTCCTAAACAAAATACAACTTCAGTAGGATCATAAAAAATGAAACCATCAAAGAGCCATCTATGTCTTCATTGCATTTTTAAATATGGCCCTTTTAATGTGTGCTTGAGAGCATTTCAGAAGGCAAAGGGAACTATAAATTAAAATGAAAATAATTACAATTTCTACTGGGCCAAGTTTATTAGGCGTGTTTTCCAGGAATTGAACATGAGGGAAGGTTTCAGCAAAAATTTGATCAGGCCCTCCTGGCTCTTTCCATGATTCATTATGGTTAGGTAAAGGGGCTATAAAACTACAGGGCTGGTGGAAGCTTCATTCTTAGTGGTTTAGTGAGCTAGGATATAATATGGTCTTGCTAACTCAATTATAATTAGTTAACTAGATTAAAACTTTAATTAAGAGAGTAAACTAGTCTTCTATTAATAGCATTAAATTTACGTAAACAAACTAATGGTATTTACTAGTGAAAAGACACCAAGGAGTTCTTATCCATAAAATGTTTTAGCAAGGAAGTACTTGGTCTGTTAAGATTGCTTATTGTAAATAAACCTGGAATTTTTTTATGGATTTATGGGGCATAGCTGGCTGGTAGGCTAGAGAAAGGGGAGAGGGAGTATCCTTGTAGGCTGTGGAATTAACAGCATACAAAGCAGAGATGCTCCAAAATCAAAATTTTGATTGTAGTTTCTACATACATTGCTCAAAAATTCAAACTTGTGAATTATTCCAAACCGAAATCTAGCCTGATGTGGCATGTAGACATTCCCTAATCTGATGCAGGAAGAATGGACTATCTAGAAGATTTTTTTAGTTACAAGTAATTTTTTAAATTATTTTTTTATTGTCTAAAGTTTTACATGTCTTCTTTTCCCCCAGTGGACCCTTCCCCTAGTCGTAAGTAATTTAATGAAATGGGATCCCAGAAGTAATGGCAGCAGAAATTCATCACCATCACAATAGGATGCCAAGTGGAGGCTATTGGACTCATTTGGTCTAAGCAAGGTGCATGCTGCTTAGACACCCAACCAAATGGAGACGTTATGGCGCTGCCTCTAACATTGACCACGGACAGAAGTAGAAACTGGGCTGAGGCACCTCATTGAAAGAGGGGCTCCCGCACATGGCTTTCCTGCAGATACATGCTGCTTCATCCCCCGTTTTTTAAAAATGTTTCTGAATTTGAGTTCCATAAGATAGGACATGTGCTCTTTGGATTGCCCAATCCCTACCACTTGCCAGTGTTACATGAATTTCAAGTGTTTATATTATCTTTTTGGGTCCTTCTGCAAAAAACAAACACCCTAAAAAATAGCAGGAGGATTTCCCCTTTTCAGGCAGACTGGGAACTTCAAAACCCAGAAGCCAAGCAAACCTCTTGCTTCATTTCAAAGCGAATGAAAAAACAGTCCTTAAACAAAATGAGTTGAAATAACATGACATCTATTTGGCTTAGACCAGAAATTATGAGGTCTGCGAGATCACGTTTCAAAACTCTCCTGCATCTTCCTCTCTCCTGCTTGTATGGGAGACACCTGCTTTCCCTCCAGGTCTTGAAGATGGGACTCTGGGCTTTAACTGTGACAAGATAAGTCACATAGTGTTTAAGTAATGAAATCCAGAGATGACACTCAGACATGTTAATGGGTGCAGCCTTCCCCAAGAAACAGCTCACCGCAGAAGCAGTGGACATACCCTGCTGGGCCTCACCTTGGGGTTGTGGCTCCTGTCCCCTGGCCCCGAGGACCGGCTGCCGTTGCTGCTCCAGCCGGCTTCCTGAAAGATGTCAGGACTCTGCTGACGGGCCTGGCGGGACACGACGAGGTGGATGCGCCTTTCACTGGCCTGGGTGATAAGACACAGGCGTTAGCACCGGGAGCTTCCGTCCCAAGCATCCAGGCACTGGGGTTACCGAGATGTGCAAGTTGGGTTTTACCTTTTGTTCTTTTATGGAAAAAAAGTGGTTTCTGGTATTTTTCATGGCAGTGCCCTCTTTGTAGTTTGAAAAGAACACAAGTCATTTCCTTTACCCCTTATCCCATGGGCTCAACCGTACACAGCCTGAAATGTTTGAGAAACTTTCCAGATAGAATAGGGCCGTGGTCGGCAAACTGCGGCTTGCGAGCCACATGCGGCTCTTTGGCCCCTTGAGCGTGGCTCTTCCACAAAATACCACAGCCTGGGCAAGTCTATTTTGAAGAAGTGGTGTTAGAAGAAGTTTACATTTAAAAAATTTGGCTCTCAAAAGAAATTTCAATCGTCATACTGTTGATATTTGGCTCTGTTGACTAATGAGTTCGCCGACCACTGGAATAGGGTATACAGTGTAAAGTAGGAGTTCTGTCAAACTCCAGACGGAAGGTCTGAGACCAAGGGTCAGCGGTAAAGAAAAAGCAGTAGAGTTATTGGCAGGAGTGTTACTGCCGCAGGAAGAGAAATTCTGCGTCTGACAGTTTCAAACATCTGGGTACTGGAAACGATGAGCACTTCAGAACTACAAGGGTGACCCAGGGGCCCTAACACAGCCCAATCAAAGGCCTTTCCCTCAACTCTTTGCTTTTCACCTGAATATCATTAATTCTGACTACTAGTCTAATACCCTGTTTCCCTGAAAATAAGACAGTGTCTTATATTAATTTTTTTCCCCCAAAGTTGCGCTAGGTCTTATTTTCAGGGGATGTCTTATCTTTCCATGTGCTAGGTCTTATTTTCGGAGGATGTCTTACTTTCGGGGAAACACGGTAGCTGTGTAAGCTGATACTTGGACAGAGTGTTCAAATAGCAAATACATTCCTGATTGGTAAGGTCCAGTCCACACCATAAATGTGCAGGTTGGCTTTCTGCCACCGAGGAGTTTCACATGTGCTGGAGAGCATGAAAGCTGCTGGTTGCTGAGACTCCAGCTCCACAGGGCAGTGAGTCAAGACCTAGGGCCTGTGAAACATACATGAACAGGGCTTCCTGATGGCTCGGTGAAGTAGCCACTTGAGCTGACCCATCACCCTAGTAAAAGCTAACAGTGCCTGAGGCATGGATAGATTTGATTAGAAAAGTCCCCTTCAAAATATTAAATTTGGGGACAAGAAAGGTAGAGAAGAGTTAGTTCTGGGGGTTCCCATCTTCATCCCACCTCCTGACCACTCACAACCACCGCAGGCCTGACTTCGGCCTGCTTGCCTTCTTCCACTGCAGGCATGGTCATCAGACCACAGGAAAGTCAGGCCACGAAAGGAGCCATGGAAAGCCTTGCTTCATTTCTGGATTTGAATTCCGTAAGATAGGAATTCAAAGGAGCTCAGAAAGTGGGAACTAAGCTAACTGCTTTCTGCCTCTTCTCTGCATCCGTCCTTCCCACAGAACATAGCTCCCTCCCACTCTCAGGAATTAGGACCTTGTTTATGAAACCTGAAGCAGTAAGTACCCACCAATGACATCAGATCCCCACTGTGGTCCAGCACAGACCAGCCCAAATTTTCACAACTCTGCATCCTTCTATTGATAAACATCTCTCCTCAGGGCTTCCTGAAAACTTAGGGGTCAATGGGGTGGTTGTACATTAGATGAACTTTTAAGAACAAATGCTGGAACACCATAAGGGTGTCAATTGTAAACATCATGGTACATGGTGGGCCAGTCAAATAAATTCATTTCATATAAAGTTAGCAAATTCTGTCAAAAAGGACTCAAAAGGAAAGTTCAAGTCCTTCGCTCATTTTCACTTCTGAGGGTCTACCCAGCACTTGCCCTTTCTCTGTTCCTTCACCCATTTCCACTCCCTTGGTATTTTTCATCACATCTAAAGCCCATGTCAGAACAGAACAAAAATAACAAGCCCAGGAAACAATAATGAGCAAGCTGACATGAAGAACTGATTTCAATTCTTGGAAGAGTATTTTGTAATTGCTGTCTCTTTCTTAATACTGTAAGCCTCACTTATCTCAATGAGGTTATCTTTGTGAGCTTTCTGAAACAAAAATTATTAATTGATAAGAAGTGGCAAACATTCAAATCAAAACTTCAATGGCTGAGCCCAGATTCGCTTATCTTTAGGGAAACTCCGATGTTTTGAAGGCTCTGGGCAGCAGATTTGTCTCTAGGCCAGCATACTGTGCTGCGTCCACTCTGGACCAGGAATGTAACCTGACCACCTCATAAAAGTTTAGAAAACCCAAGACTTACATGTCGGATCAGCTTGCCAGGCAAAATCCAAAATGGCAAGGCACAGCCTTCAAGAGCTATTTAATTCACATTGCGAGCACGAATTTCTCACTGGATTTTCAAATGCTGACTTTTATTAAGTTGTTGGCAGGAAGAACACTCCAATAAATAACCCTGGTATCGATTTACGTGGAAATAAATTCCCTGCAAGGCTGGATCTGTGGCTCTCACCAGCCACCTTATAAATTGCTCTCAGCAAGACTCTATCTGATGCACTTTCTTTCTTTAGCTTTTGAAGTCGAAGGTGGAAAATGGGCTAATGTGTTTGTCCTGGCTTCTACTCCCAGGAACAGCTGGATTCAGTGCGAAGAAACAGGCCTTAGCATCAGTCTTTCTTTCCACGGAGATGAATCTGGCGTGAATGTGGAGTGAGGGGGAGAAGGTGGGCGAGGGGGAGACACAGACTGAATGAAAGAGAGAATGACGGAAACTTATTTCATACAGACATAAACATGTGCCAGAGAGATGGGCGCGGCAGACCCGTCATTGAAATAGACGCTTGAAGGAAGAACATGCTACAGGTTGGAGGCAGGGCAGCTTCCCTCTTGTATCACTTGGGTGCTGCAGTCTGGAGGAGAGGACTGTTGAACAATTGTGTCTGGCTCAAGCAGTAGACAAGGCAAGAGCTAGATCCTCTCACTTGAACTTCCTCCCCTCTCTCCATGAGCATCCTCAGTGTTGCTTTAGACCAGTGTTTCCCAAACTTTTGACATATGTGTACCCCTTCTATAATTTTCGTAACTTTGAGTACCACTTGTACTCATGAGAATGTAGAATTAAGCGCAGCTAAGCACGGTGCAGTGCATATCCCCACCAAACTCCGGTGCAACGCGAACCCCCACCAAACTCTTCCTGTACCCCTGGGGGTTTGTGTACCACACTTTGGGAAACACTGCTCTAGACAAACTCTGGGCACAGTGGTCACAAGTTGCACAGCCCAATGGCTGTGCCGAATACTCCTTTCTCTTCCAAGAAAGATCCACGCATTAAACTCCGTCTCTTCTTTCGGGTTAGAGGAAAGGGATTCTGATGACATCCACATTCTCCACTGTGCACCTCAGCTTGTTGGCAGCCATTCTCTCCCCACAGCTGGCGTATGCCGGCTCTGGGCCAGGCACTTCACTAAGAGCCTTGGGGACATGCTCCTGCCCTCAGGGCCCTTGTCCTGCTTCAGGGACAGTCAGAATCAGGTGCCACGAGAGAGATGTGGTTAACACACAGAGTTTCAGAGGCAGAGCAAATTACTTCTATTTAAAATGATAGGAAAATCCTAACGTCTAGAGAAAGCCAGAGGATTAAGACTGAGTATTATTTCTCATAGAAAAGCTTGTTTTGGGTTGTTCTGTGTAATGGCTACTTTTCTCTAAGCGTTTGAAATTTGACTAAAAACTGCCAATAATAATTATATGATGGGAGCAAGCAGAGACCACAGCAGGGAACCAGAGTCCAGCAGCCTCATTTATAGGTAGCCCATGTAAAAATAAGAAACTTCATCTCTAGTAGACAGAAGGAGTCTGAGAGTATCTGATTTCATCATGTTCAGCCTGGGAATGGCTCTTTCCCCCATAAAACTCACTATGACCAAGAAACTGCTCATATTGTCAGGATGCAACATGGACCAGAACAGAACGATGACAATTTAAGATGCTACTGCACAAGGAGCCAGGAGAGGCATTTTGCAGAGCCAATTGTTGGAGGAGAGGGGTCTTTTTACCATCCTGGCATTACAGGAGTCCATGAGGTCACTGAGAGAGAGAGAGAGATAGGGTCAGCTACAAATAAAGGCAGAGCAAGAGAACACAGAGCACTTGTACTCATCTAGCCAAAGGCTTCACATTTTCATCTGGAAAGGGGGATTGGAGTTAAACCAAATGGTCTATAGAATTTGCTGCTTTCAAATATGCATATAGCATATTTTCCGGCGTATAAGACAACTCCCTAATTTTACAGTTAAAACATAGGTTTAGGCCTATATTCACTGTATAAGACTACCCCCCACTTCAAAGAAAAAACTTACTGTGCCGTCAAGATCTGCAGGTAATTTTTGTGCAATTTTGATCTTTTGCCCCCAATTTTCGGTTGACTTTTTTTTGTTTCAAAAGTCGTCTTATACGCCGGAAAATACGGTATATATTTCAAATATGCATATTTGAAAGCAGCAAATTATATATATATATATATATATATATATATATATATATATATATATATATATTCCTCTCTGAAGATAACTCTCATTGCCTTCACAGGAGATACAGGAGATTCCTGTTTGACTGGGTGGCTGTCTTGTTATAGAGATGAGTAAGAGGTATAGTTGGATTTATAATAATACTAGAGTCCTGGTGCATAAAATTTGTGCACAGGGGCATGGCGAGGGTGGGGGGGTCCCTTAGCCTAGCCTGAAAAGATGCAAGAGTTCTACACCTGGCCTGGCCAGGAGTCCCTCCACAGCTGGGTGCAGAATGCTTGCCTCGTCACTGGGGTGATGAGGTAAGTGTTCCCCCCATTCCAGCTGCAGAGGGCCTCCCACGGCTGGAGTGGAATGTTTGCCTCATCGCCATGGTGACAAAGCAAGCATTCTGCCAGGCTGCTCACACTGCTCGCTCTCAGCAGGCCCCCCACCCCGC